GCATGGAACATGGAACGAACATCTCATTTACATCTAATTTCAAATCGAGATGTAAAAAATGTAATCTGGACAGCTACATCTCGGATAAACAAACCCAGATGTAGATGTAGTAGATGTGTCCGATGTGGATAAACAAGTGCTCGAGATGTAAAAAATGCATCGAATGTGGATATTCAAACGCAGCAATAGTAGTTCCCCAATAAATGAATTCAATAAGAATCTTAACACAGCATTTTTATTGTCCAAAATTATTATTAAGATGCCGTGCCTTGCCAATTCAGTTCTTTTTGTAATTATTATTTTTTATACGGCACGACAATTATTGAGGGAGCAAAGATCGATGATACTAATAAAGTGATTGATAAAAGCGACCACAAAGCAATTATTACTATTAGTATAACGTTTGGACAGGTCAATTTAATTTTAAAATTAGTATATATTAAAATTTTTTTTACAAAGGATTTGCTTTTAACTTTATCTCGACCCCAAAATATGTATTACGGTACGGAATAATATTAAATATTCCTGTATTTCAGAATTCATGACGCGGTATCTTCTCGTCCCAATTCGAGTATACCTCGAATTGTAACACCTTCGGAAGTATCGAGGTTAGTGGAGTACTGGCAGACACGGAATCTGCCATTATTACTTCTTGGATGGGACGCCAACACGCACAGCATCATGTGGGAAAGCAACGACACCAATCAAAGAGGTGAGCAACTTCTTGAATATATACTTGTAATAAGAATCTTATTGTGCACAACATTGATAATACTTCCGCATTTCTAACAAGAAGTGAGGTATTAAATATCACATTTAGCACACCGAGCATTAAAGATCAAGTTACAAACTGAAGAGAATCGAGTGAGCCTATCTGATCGCAAGATAAGAGATAAAATTAGAGGGCGATGCTCCTGATACATCCTCAGGAGGAATCCTAGAAAAAAGTCTTTAGCAAATAAAACAAAATTTTACACATGTTCAGACTAAAAGGGGCCCAGACACCCACTAGCTCTAAAAAGTGATCTCGGAGAACTAAATGAGGCAATACTTGAGGCATATGAATCAAGCTGCCCCATTCAAACAAATAGAACTGGTAGGGACGCTCCTTGGTGAAACAGCCATCTGTCAAACTTTAGATCCAAAGTGCGAAAACTCTATAACAGAGCCAAGCACAGCGAAGATTGGCATTTACTAACTATAACATAGAAATCAGAAAAGCTAAACATAACAGCTTTAAGAAATTCGTCGAGGAGATTAACTCTACATCTGCGGCAGCGAGACTACACAAGGCCCTGGCCAAAGAGAGTGAATACAGCTAGGGCTATAAAGAAACCAAATGGAAGCAGGCCCTCCAGAGAGGCCACAGCAGTGGCCATACACATACACAGCAGCAATCGGTTCAAGTAGCCTGCGAACAATTTTGAGTCGTTTAAATACCCAGGTGTGGATAGAATATTTCCTGCTCTGCTTCAGTGGATACAGGATGAATTACTACCTCATATAATCCGGATATCTCGGAGCAGTCTTAAACTTGGATATTTACCAGAACTATGTCAGAGTTACCATTATTTCAAAAGTAGGGAAAGAGGATACCACACATCCTAAATCCTTCCTGCTGCTGTCTACGAGAACGTCGCCAAAAGGACACGATATAGAATGTTCAGGAACGGGGTCCTCAGACGGAATTCTATTAGCTGCAGGACAGAAGATACTTGGGGTATGCTCCAGGACTAAATGAGGAAGTACAGTTTTGGAAAGAAATCAAAACCACAGAGCTGGGTTGCAACAAAGAATGTAGCCAATAATCAATGTGTTTCCAACCAAAAGGCATGGTGTATATAGGTTAAGAACCAGATAGGTACTCTAAAAGTTTGGGTAAATTCACGTCATTGAGAAGTATATCTAGAAACTATCGTAGAAAATAGATTATCATGTCCGGTAACTAAGCAGCTATCAAAATGCTGAGCTCTTACGTAATTAGCTCAAAAATGGTCTGGAGTTGCCTATACAAACTGAATGAACTAGGTAAGGAAAATACAGTTTCTCTTAATTAAGTCTCGATATACTATAACGGGGTAAAGGGTAACGAGATTCCAGATAGTCTCGCAAGGAAAAGGGATCAAAAACCCTTTGTGGGACTCAGACCGTTTTGCTGTATCAGCAGTAACACAATATCAGAAGAGATTTAAAAAGAATTGGGCGGAAATTGGAAGGATCTCTCATGGCTAATATACTTCTGGGTTAATATATCCAGAAAAAATCGACAACCTTTATCCGTCTGAGCAATAACAGGCTACGCATTCTAACAAGGATCCGTACTGAGCATTTCTTACTCAAAATACACCTTATTAAACTGGATTTAGTAGAAGGTAGTGATTACAGATTCTGTGAGAAGGAGGACGAAACCTTTATTCATATTCTGACTGAATGTGTAGCACTCCAGAATCCAAGGAGCATACCAAACAGAGAAGGGCGATCTACTTAACTTGGAGTCATTCCAAATCCTAACTTTCCTTGAGAAGATAGGATTGGAGGGGTCGTTATATGAATTGAGACTATTTCTTTGCCGCGTTAGCGAAAAATCTATTATGCCCCTTTAATAAATCTTTAATTTGCACCATACTGTATATATATCCAAAACGGAAAGTTTGCAAAATGAATCAGCCCAATTAATACGTTTTATTGTTGTTTACAGCAACAAATGAATTAATTCGTAAGCTTTTAGCAACAATATAATACAAGGAACAAATAAATTGTGTTAAATGTGATACAGCCACGTATTTTTTCTTGATAAACATTATTTTACAACACCTTGTTAATAATAATTTAAATGTAAAAATAAACAAGACCATTATTGAAATTTTAGATGAAGTGGTAAACAGAGAAGTGGCAGAGGCGTTGGGTAATTCTAGAAGAGAAGTTTATCCATTTATTTGTGTTAAATAAGTCACTGAACCTGTTGCATCTGTTTTTACTTGCAATTAATAATCAAATTATTTAATTATACTATTTTAATACTTCATTATTTTCCATCTAGATATCGATTTCGCACAATTAGGTATAAATAAAAATTGTTCTCCTAAATTTGGAATAAACATAGAGATGTATCTCTTAATATTTTTCATTACTAACTTGTGACCCTGCTAGTCAAACCAGCTTCCCTTGAGAAATTTACAAAAACCTAATTTTTAGATGAAAATCTTGAATTTACAATAATTTACAACTTTGTACAATACGGAAGTGCATATAATAATGACGAATAAAAAACCTTGCGAAGGCCTAATAAGACGACACTTATTGCTTGTACGCTTTTTTTTATTATTTTATTTCATTTTTATTTCAGTGTTAATTATTAAACTAGATTGAACATTATTCATTTGAACGGAGTGACTCAAAAGTTTTTTCTTGGAACCGTAATTAAATTCGATGACCGCATTAACTATAACATCCCCTATATATTCATCAGATGTACCTTTGTTTTTTTTAATCACATGAAGTATTCGAAAGGTTATCGGAATTTGTAAAAGTTGTATACCTGTTGCAATGATTAGATAAATAGTAACAGTTAAAAAAATACAACAACGAATTATTGTATTGAATTTATATAGTACCCTAAATAATGTTCTCTTGAAACTGAAAATAACCAGTAACGTTCTCAATCAGTACCAATTGTGATATAAACATTGTAATTATTAATAACAATGATAAAAAGTTCATTAAAAATTGCTCGGCACAGCTGAGAACTGAGACAAAATAAAGTAATCACAATTGTGTTAACCTTTAACTTAAACAATGTTCTTTAAGAGCATTTATTTGTCTTTACGGTACCGACATCTAAATTCAAAAATATTTATTTATAATTTCTATGTAATTAATGAGAATAACACAGTTTATTAATAGTAGTTATTGATGGCAATAATAAGAATATAGTTTAAAAGAGATGTCATTTTTTCTTTCTATAATAACATTTAATATTTAATTTATTACAAAGTAAATAAAATTATACAATTTTAGCTTTAATTTTAGACTTCTGAATAAAACTTTTCGAAAATGATACAAAATGTATATAGGTACATATAAAAATGTGACATACGTGAAAAAACTTTTATCAGTAGTATTTATTATAATTTAAGATACTTTGAAAGCTAAGAAAATGCAGCAAAAATCGAGTAAGAGTAGGGTTAGTTCATGAATACTAAATCAATAAATATTTTTATCATGAAATAGTTTATAAAAAAATATTTAAATACAATATATTAGCCCTTCAAGGAGAGTTTAAAATGCGTTTTAATTTTATAAAAAATATTTACATTGAATGTATTTTTAAGAATAGTATGATGAATATTTATTTATAAAGCTAGTATATTATCATCAGCTGCTTTAAAAAACTAGAGTCTTTGTTAATCAAATAATTATGATTAACGATTAATAAATTGAAATCGTTTATTGATGATTTAAAAAGATTTTAGCATATATAGTTTTGAAATTGTTAGTAAAATTAGCGATGTATTATTGTATGAAGAACGGAATCATTTAGGTACGGCAGTGTTTTCACCTATATAAATGGATTAATTATCATGTAGAAAAAGACAACTGGTTAGCATTTACTATTTGTCCAATATGACGTAGTCATGTTTAACAAATTCTAAATAAAGCTATTCCACGTGACTTGATGTAGAGCGTAATCAATTTACTTCAAGAACAATGAAATTTAACAATATAAATCTATCCGAAGACAATGCCGCTTATCAAAAAACGCGTTGCTTATATAAGTTAAACAAACATATTTATTGAAACCAAAGATAAGTACAGTTATAAATTATAAAATTCGGTAAAAAATAAATATACTAAAATAGTTAAAAATAGACAAAAATACAGGAATCCAAATTTTACAGTTAGTTGGTAGATACCGATGCTATTTTTTAACAATTCCGATGTTAGTAATATTAAAATTAGTATAACAGTTCGGAATGTGGTTTGAGAATTTGGAGACTTACCAGTAGTGTTCAGAGATGTGATTAAGAAACACCACTGCAGGGCTGTGATGGCCTCCGCAGTAAAACTGACTGTTAAAATCATCGTCAACTTTATATACTACTCCAAACAATATGTTATTAACAGACAGATCAAAAAGTAAACAGTAGACATGCGTTGGATCTAAACTCCAATCTTTAACAATTTAATATCTTAATCTGTAGCAAAATAATGGCTGATAAAATTGTATGCCATGGTCTACGAGATAGTGGTTCCTGCGTTTTGAGAATTATTTTCAATTATTGTGCTTAAATGCCCAATAATTGATTTTTTCTTGGATTCGAATATTTTGAACTTAATTTACCCAATCGTTGAACTCGTTTGTTAGAACGGTTCCATTGGCGTTCACAATTCAAAACAATATAAATACCTATCTACACTTTGATTTTAAAAATAAAGTATACAGAATCATTTTTTTATAAACTATGTACATATTAAAGTGATTCTACATTATTTTTAATACGGACGAATCCTCTTATGTGTAGAATATATTATGTAGGTATCTTATTTGTCGTTGGTATTTGTTTAGAATTGGAAGTTATTGTTTTTATTGATAAATCAGCATGATATTGTTTAAATAAAATATATTTTTTTATTACGTTAATAAATGGACAAGTGATTTATTTTGTTTCTGAAACAAATTTTGATTGTAGAACCTATTACAATGTTTTGAAAACATGTATGATAAATATACCCCGAATTCATTGAAAAATACTCAGTTGTGCATCATATAATTATGTTTCAGATTATTTGAATAATGAAACAATTAAAATTATCATAAAAACAAAAAAAACTAGTTTATAAAAATATGCAGGATTGAATGAGATCTTCCATGGAGTAAATAAACCGAAGTAGACGTCATTGCGGTTTTTTTCATTAAATTGGTGTTCATATTTGTAAAATCCCGGCCCAAATTATTAAAATTCGGTAGATATTTAAAATTAAAGCATTTATTATAATTAAAATTGTAGGTATTCATACTAACATAGATGTAATTATTTACATATTTAAATGACAAGGCTTATTATAAATGAAGTAACTTTTAAATAATTATAGCATTTATAAATTTCGATGATGTGACAGAGCAATTTCAGAAAAAAAATTATATTTTGATAATCTTAAATGAGGATTTAAATTCGTAAAACTAATTTTCAAAGCACCATTTTCGTACAACTTCTGTCAAATTTTTTAAACAGTGTTACGTCGTGTTTTTTGCTTGCTATTTGTAGCTGGGTACAGAGGAGGGGTGGGGGGTGAACAACATGTACTATGTCCCGGTGGTGAGAGCGATCATATGACCTGTGAAATTCAAAGTAAAGTGGATTATTGATAGATTTGCCTTTTTTTGCTGGCAATGAAATATATGCTTCTAGATGTCAATGACAATAAAAAACTTCCTTTGCAAGCATTTTCTGTCGTCCGGTTTTACTACTTCCGGTATAGGGATTTCAGTCACATGACCGGATATTTACGTTTTTCAACAGGTTGATATGCTAAAAAATATTTCAACCTGGTAAAAAGTGATCTGTTTTTTGAAATAGGTGTAAAATCGGAACCAAAAGTCGAAAAGTGGTTTAATTACCCTCAAAATGTTTAAATGACCCTCAAATAAGAGTATTGCCCTTGCAAGCATTTTTTATTTAGTAGTTCTAACCCAGTCAGCATTTTACTCACCCCTATTTTCGAGAAAAAATGTCAAAATAGTCGCCGCAATTTACTAGATTTACATGATCAAAACATTTCACATTCATAAACTCCATAGAGCACAGAAACATTTCGGAAATATTTCAAAAATGTTGTATTGAAATATTTGTAACGTAGTATAAATATTACGAAAAGTCCCAGAAACATTTCTGAAATGTGCCTGAAACGCAAAAATGTCCTGTAATTATATTTCACAGTAATATTTCTAAAATAAAAATTTGAAATCCATTAATAATGTATTCTAGTATTTTTTTATAAATATTAAAAAAACGTTGTAGGAACGTTTCTAAAATATTATTAGACTAAAACAGAGACATTTAACAATATTCATGTTTATTTAAAATACACAAAACAGAAATATTGATTCTTAAACAAATAAATAAATAATTTTTAAACATTATTTCATAAAATATAAAGGCGAATCCCTTCATTTCCACCAATTCCTTTAAATGCACTACTCTGAAACAAATTATAGGTACATACCTTTTTTTAAGTATGTATCTGATACAAATTATTTGATAAACAATAGTTTTATTAATATGGTTTTAAATTAACTATAATAAAACAAACAATACTTACTCATGCCTAAACAAAACATGAAGCTTCGCTTTTCATTCAGAGCTGTAGAAATAATAAATAAAACTAGGTGGAGGGACACAACGCATAAATAACAAAAAAAGCAAATGGCAAAAAAAACCGACAACAAACGCAAACCTATAAATATTTAGCATAATAAAGAGTTGTCTCTGGCTGGACATAGGATGAAATAAAACGACTACAAAACACATATTCTTCTTCTTCTTCTTCTTCTTCTTCTCTTCTTCTTCTTCTTCTTCTTCTTCTTCTTCTTCTTCTTCTTCTTCTTCTTCTCTTCTTCTTCTTCTTCTTCTTCTTCTTCTTCTTCTTCTTCTTCTTCTTCTTCTTCTTCTTCTTCTTCTTCTTCTTCTTCTTCTTCTTCTTCTTCTTCTTCTTCTTCTTCTTCTTCTTCTTCTTCTTCTTCTTCTTCTTCTTCTTCTTCTTCTTCTTCTTCTTCTTCTTCTTCTTCTTCTTCTCTTCTTCTTCTTCTTCTTCTTCTTCTTCTTCTTCTTCTTCTTCTTCTTCTTCTTCTCTTCTTCTTCTTCTTCTTCTCTTCTTCTTCTTCTTCTTCTTCTTCTTCTTCTTCTTCTCTTCTTCTTCTTCTTCTTCTTCTTCTTCTTCTTCTTCTTCTTCTTCTTCTTCTTCTTCTTCTTCTTCTTCTTCTTCTTCTTCTTCTTCTTCTTCTTCT